GACAGGACAATGGGCAGTGGGCACAAACTGGAACTTAGGAAGTTCCATCTGGATTTGAGAGAGAACTTAACAGTGACAAAGCCCTGGGTCAGGCTGCCCAGGGTGGTGGTGGAGTCTCCTTCTCTGGAGACATTCAAGACCCCCCTGGATTCAGCCTTGGGGAATGTGCTCCAGGGGGATCCTGCTCTAGTAGGGGGTTGGATTCCATAATCTGTAGAGGTTCCTTCTAACTCCAGTTGTGACCACCCACTGGTGATGCCCATGGCACCTTCCTGGTGGGGTCTAACACTGCCTCTGGTCCTCCCCACAGCCCACAGATGACATTGTTCTGATGGCCCAGACCCTGGAGAAGATCTTCCTGCAGAAGGTGGCTCAGATGCCACCAGAAGAGCAGGAGATCGTGGTGCCGGTGGCCAAGAACAGCCACAAGAAGGGAGCATCCAGAGCAGCAGGTATGGTCCCACCACCTGGGGTGGGATGGTCACTTGGGTGGGGGATTGGTGGGGTCCCAGGGGGGTGGTGGGACCCCAGAGGTGGGATTGTGGTGGCTCCTTGATGCGCCAGAGATGCTGATGGAGGATGGGGGGGATCTTGTCTCTCCCCAGCGCTCCTGGCGGGGCTGACGGCTGCCCAGCAGGTCCCAGCTGTCTCCTCGGTGTCCCACGTCTACACCCCAAGTCCTGACATCCCCACCACCATTGTCAACATCCCCCACCCCTCAGTCATTGCCACCCCCCTCCTCAAATCGCTGCACTCGCCCACCCCGCCCGTCCTGGCACCACCCGCGCCCACCCAGCCTGTGGCCAAGGTAGGAGCACAGGGGGTGGTGGGGATGGTCCTCCAGGGCAAGGGACATGGTTCTTGTCCTCTGTTTTTCTCTGGGGAGACCCCAGCTGGAGAACTGGCTTCAGTTCTGGAACCCCCAACATCAAAAGGACATGGAGCTCCTGGAGAGAGTCCAGAGGAAGCTCCAGGGAGACCTTGGAGCACCTTCCAGTTCCTGAAGGGGTGGCAGGCTCTGGTACAACTGACCAATCATAAGTGTCCACGTACGTACGGGAAGAGAGTAAATAAGTGCCTGTCATTTCTAATAAAGTGAAGACGTTTGCTCTATCAATCATATTGATTGGCTGCATTCTTCCCTCGCCGACGCCTCCGCGACAACAAATGGCGCCTGGAACAGGGACGTGGAGACTGAAGATCTGAAAAGAGGACCCAAAGATCTGAAAAGAGGACCCAAAAATCGGAGCGGGGACCCAGAGATCTAAACGAGGGCCCACGGATCCGAATGGGGACCTAAAAGACCCGACCGGGGATGTAAAAGATCCGACCGGGGACCTAAAGGTCTGAATGGGGACCTAAAAGATCTGAACGGAGACCTGAAGATTGAATGGGGACCTAAAGATCCAAACGGGGACCTAAAGATTGAATGGAGACCTAAAAGATCCGACTGGGGACCTAAAGATCCGACCCGGGACCTGAAGATCCGAACGGGGACCTTAAAGATTGAATGGAGACCCCTCCAGCCCATGACCTTCAGGGCCCCTCCAGCCCATGACCTTCAGGGCCCCTCCAGCCCATGACCTTCAGGGCCCCTCCAGCCCATGACCTTCAGGGCCCCTCCAGCCCATGACCTTCAGGGCCCCTCCAGCCCATGACCTTCAGGGCCCCTCCAACCCATGATCTTCAGGGCTACTCCAACCCATGATCTTCAGGGCCTCTCCAACCCAACCCACGACCTTTGAAGATCCCTCCAACCCAACCCATTATATTCAGGGTTCCTCCAACCAATGATCTTTAGGGCCCATCAAACCCAACCTACGACTTTGAAGATCCCTCCAATCCAACCCATGATCTTCAGGATCCCTCCAACCCAACCTACAACCTTTTGAAGACCCCTCCAGCCCAACCCATGATCTTCAGGATCCCTCCAACCCAACCTACAACCTTTTGAAGACCCCTCCAGCCCAACCCATGATCTTTAGGGCTTCTTCAGCCCAACCCATGATCTTTAGGGCTTCTCTAGCCCAACCCATGATCTTTAGGGCTCCTCCAGCCCAACCCATGATCTTTAGGGCTCCTCCAGCCCAACCCATGATCTTTAGGGCCCTTCCAACCCAACCCACAACCTCCTGAAGACTCCTCCAAGCCATCCCATTCCATGACTCTCTTTGTTTTCCTGGCAGAAGAAGGGGGTGAAGCGGAAAGCAGACACCACCACCCCCACCACCACGGCCATCATCGCCACCAGCGGCGAGTCCTCCCCGTCGGCCACGTTGCTGGAGGCCAAAGCCGCCAAGATCCCGGCGCGTCGGGAGAGCGGTCGTCCCATCAAACCCCCCAGGAAGGATCTCCCAGATTCCCAACAGCATCAGACCTCCAAGAAGGGGAAGTTGTCAGAGCAGCTCAAGTACTGCAACGGGATCCTGAAGGAGCTGCTCTCCAAGAAGCACGCGGCCTACGCTTGGCCCTTCTACAAGCCCGTTGATGCCTCGGCCCTGGGGCTGCACGACTATCACGAGATCATCAAGCACCCCATGGACCTCAGCACCATCAAGGTGGGGGGTTGAGAGGCTTGGGAGGCTTTGTTTTGGGAGACCTTCTCAGTGGGGTCCTTCTCAGTGGGTCTTTCTGTGCCCACTGTGGTGGCACCTTCTCAGTTGCTTGCCTAGGGTGGTGGAACCTCCCCAGTTAGGTCCACGAGTGCCCACCATGGTGGGATCTTCCCAGTTGTGCCATTCACAATTGGGTCCTTGGGTGCCCACCGTGGCAGGACCTTCTTGATTGGGTGTCTAGGGTAGTGAGACTTTTCCAGTTGGGTCCATGAGTGCCCAGGGTGGTGGGACCTTCCCAGTTGGATCCATGATTACTCAGGGTGCTGGGATTTTCCTAGTTGGGTCCACGGGTGCCCACCGTGGTGGGATCTTTCCAGTTGTGTTCTTCCATTTGGGTCCCTGGGTGCCCAGTGTGGTGGGACCTGCTCAGTTGGCTCCATGGGTGCCCAGGGTGGTGAAACCTCCCCAGTTGGATCCATGGGTGCCCACTGTGGTGGGACCTTTTCAGTTGGGTCCTCCCTAGTTATAGGTCCCTGGGTGTCTAGGGTGGTGGGACCTTCTCAGTTGGGTCCTTCTTGGTTGGGTCTTTGGGTGGCCAGGATGGTAGGACCTTCTCAGTTGGGTGCCCACCATGTTGGAACTGTGTCAATTGGGTGCCCACCATGGTGGGACCTTTCCAGTTGGTCCTTGAGTACCCAGGGTGATGGGATCTTCGCAGTCCTCTCCTTGCTTGCCCACTGTGGTGCGACCTTCTCAGTTGGGTTCTTGGCTGCCCACCATGATGGTGCTGTCTCAGTTGGGTCCATGGGTGCCATGGTGGGATCATCCCAGACCTGAGGGTGAAGGAGCCTTTTTTTGGAGCCCCCTTATCCATCTCCACCCTCCCCACAGCGGAAGATGGAGAACAGGGACTATCACGACGCGCAAGAATTCGCCGCCGATGTCCGGTTAATGTTCTCCAACTGCTACAAATACAACCCCCCTGACCACGACGTGGTGGCCATGGCTCGCAAACTACAGGTGAGTGGGGTGTCCCCAAGTGTCCGTGTGTCCCCCCAGAGTGTCCCCCCACCCCCAACTCTCCCAACAAACCCCCCCCTGCTCCCCAGGACGTCTTTGAGTTCAGCTATGCCAAGATGCCCGACGAGCCGCAGGACGCCAGCCCGCCCTCGGTGTCTGCTCCTCTCCCCGGTGCTCTTTCCAAATCCTCCTCTGAGGAATCTTCCAGCGACGAGGATGAGGATGAGGAGGATGAAGATGACGAAGAGGAGGAGGAGAGCAGCAGTGAGAGCTCCTCAGAGAGTGAGGAGAGCTCGGACTCAGAGGAGGAACGTGCCAACAGGTTGGCGGAGCTGCAGGAGCAGGTGAGTGGCCGGAGCAGAGCCCGAGTCTTCTCCTCCCACCAAGGAGCTGCTCCCCACGTCCCCCCTCACCCCCCGTGTCTCCCCCCACAGCTGCGGGCCGTGCACGCGCAGGTGGCTGGC